CCCTCCTCACCACCAATTTGGATCACTTGTTGTTCTCTTGTCCCTGAGTTTGTTAACACCACCACCTTTCCCCCCGACCTCCCCCTCTCCCAGGTCCCCTGGCAACTGTCGGTCCCATTGTTTTCTCCTCCAGATTGCTCATCCAGCCTATCTTATTTAGGTGGACCTGTGGAGATAACATGCACAAAAACAAGACAGAGCAAAACCAAGCAACAATATGCAATAAAACAACAACAACAAACCAGTGACAAGAAACAAAACAAAACACCACAAGAAAGAACAGCTTGTAGTTAGCTCAAGGACTGTTTGTTGGCCTTTAGGAGTGTTTTCCAGTCCAGTCTGTTGGGGCACCAAGCCCTGGCCCCCAAAGTCCACCTTCAGCATTCCCTGGGGAACTCGCTGCTTCATTCCCTTGCGGTTCTGTTGCACCCCCTTCGTGTTTTGCCTCCGTGTGGCAGCATCAGATCAGGCGCAATTCCCACACTGTGTCTCCAATGTTATCCCCTGTAGGGCTATGGGTCAGTCAGGGACGTCATGTCTCACAGTGGGGCCGGCCATGTGGTCTTCTCTGTGGACTGGCTGCTCTGAGCAGGAACATCGTTCTCAAGCCCTGGTGGGCCAGGATGTTCTCCAGTCTCTCCTCCTCCCCCTTCATCTGCTCCCGTGTGCTCCAATCAGATATGTCCCTCTCCCAGTTCTGCAGATTCAGTGCATCCTCTGAAATAAATTCTTCTGCGGGGAGGGGCGGGCGGGTTTTGTTTTGATTTGGTTTGGGTTTATTTGTTTATTTTTTGGATATTTTTGTCTGTATTGAATTCCAAAATAGGTAAATGTAGAGAGAGTAATTGGGTTCATGGTTTTCTTGGGGGCATGACAGGGGGGAAATGGGGAGCTAATAACCATGAGCACAAGAAAGAGGAAAATGTTCTCAGATTGATTGTGGTGGTGATTGTACAACTCTTCTTGATATGTTTCAACTCTTGAATTGTATGATACGTGGGTGAAGTGTCCATCAACTACTTTACAAAGAGTGAAAGAAGGACACAGGAGTGAAGAAAAGAAAACCCAGCCACGAGTTCCCATGGGTGGTGCTGGCGGCGGAGAGAATGGTTGGTGGGAAACGAGGAGAGCTACCATGCAATTTTGTACACATTTCAAACTCAGCCAAGGTGAGAGAGTGGATACTGTTTATTCGATGTTACGTTTCTGATTACCGAAGACAATGCTTTCTCTTTTTTCCCCAGTCATCTGAGAATAAGGAGGGAGAGGGAGGAATCTTCAGAATGCAGTGTGTGTGTAGCATTTTGCCTATCACGCTTTGTAAATACTGGAGAAATTTTGGGAGAAAGTCAAGACTTTCTACTCCTGTAAAGAGTTACAATTTCATCACCTCTCAGCCTTTTGGCTAAGATCAAGTGTGAAGTTACAATCTCAGAAACTCACAGGGGCAACTCCACCTCATCTTAAAAGGGTCGCTATGAGTCGGCTATTGAGTGGATAGCAGGGAGTTTGGCTTTGGCCTTTGGAGAAACTGACCAATTTGACTTAGAGATGGAATATAACGTTGCTTACAAAAATTGCTGCTAACCCCTGCTTAAGGTGTCATAATCTGTGACCATACTAAGAGCAAAACATTCATTTGAATTAAAAAAATAGCGAGAGTTACCATATGACCCACTGCCATCGAGTTAAATCTGATTCGGAGCGGCCCTGTACGACAGAGGAAAATGGCCTCTGTGAGTTTCAGAGGCTCAAAATCTTTACAGGAGCAGAAAGCCTCATCCTTTCTCCCGTAGAGCGGCTGGTGGGCTCAAACTGCTGACTTGTGGTGAACAGTTCCACAGTGGGGTGGCTCCTCAAAAATATGAAAAATACAACTACCATATGACCCAGCCATTCCATTTCCAGGTATAAACCCAAAGACTCAAATGTACAGAGTCAGCCCCCAGTTTGCAGAAGACTATGGATGACAGTGAAAGCCCAAAATCAAATTCTAGAGTCCCGTGTGGGTGAAGCCTCCACTGAACTGCCTTGGAAGAGCCCTGGTGGCATAGTGGTTACTTAAGAGTTGGGAATGAATGCAAACTTCAAGATCAGCAGTTCAAAACCACAAGCAGTTCTTTGGGACAACTCACTGCCAGGGAATCAATGCTGACTCGTAATGACCCCCTGTGGGTTTTTGAAACGATAATTTCATGGGAGTAGAAAGCCCAGTCTTTCTTAAGTGAGGAGTTGCTGGTGGTTTCCAACAGTTGAGCATACGGATCACAGCCAGGGCTTTCTACTTTGATACAGAATTACAGATAATTCTCAAAGGTATGACACACCGCTTTCACATAGGTAAAAATGCCTTGTGGTGGTTACATAATCTGGTGTCATTTTGGGACTTGAAAGGATTCTAGTCTGTCAATCAAGTCATAGCCAATGAGGCCTCTGTGTGGGCATGGCCCTTCCCCCTGAGGATTCTCTCTCTCTCTCTCTCTCTCTCTCTAAACAGCGGATCATAGCTAAGGGAAGAACAAAGAAAGAGGCATTTCACCCAAGTCATCCTCATATCCCTCCTTGCTCCCTTGTTCTCTCACAAGAACCAAGACCCTACCGTAAAAATTACCCTGGGTTAGCGATTA